TTCTTTCATATCTTTCTGGTACTGAGTGTACCTGCGCTGAATCTTTCTCCTTTGTGATCTCGAAATGACTGGGACCATATCTGGTTCCTTTGTCTTTGGGTGTTTAAGCAATACCCAATTGTTTGGGGCTACCAAAGGAGGCTTGACCATCCTATCTTGGCTTCCAATATCCCTTTGGGTAGACACTTCCCTAGGTTTGTTCTGCATCACAAACCAATCTGGAACCCCAGGTACCCACGAACTTACTGACCCAGATGTTGAACTGCCCTTTTCTTCCTTCTAAGCCATCCTCGAAGCTGGCTGTGAAGGCAATTGTTTGGCCCTAACCTCAAGTTTCGAGCCTGATTCAGGCCTTCGATGAAGGTGGCCACTTTCTGTCCTGCGTGAGGCTGGTCTAGGAGGCCAATCTTTAGCTTTGATCCCATAACCTGAACTCTTCTCCAGTCTTCTTTCAGAATGACTGCTCTCCATTCTGTAATAGTTAGGTGGTCTGGACTCATATAAGGCCCTCTTGCCTTTAGCATGCATTCTATCGACTGTTGGTTCAACCACCGATGGTTGCTACCTAATACTAGCCGGATATGGCCTTTTGTTATAAGCATTGGTTGGTTTAGGACATCTCTACATATCCCTATAATATTGCTTCCCATCAATTGGAAACCCTTTCAACCATTTGTAACTTAGTTTGCACCTGGGGCACATCCTTTACATTACAGCTGCTTCTAAGGAATCATCATCCAGTGCTTCTTCATCAGAGTCTTCCCTCTGGTGTAAGAAACCTTGTCCAATAGCTAGTGGGTTTCTAGCGTCCTTCTTGATGGTTGTCTGGTTGGCAACATGCATCTGCACATTGACTTCGTCCAATTCTGTCAAGGACAAGTTCTGGAAATCTGACATAATGACATTGGCTACCACCTCTCCAACTTCTGGAAATAGATTGTTGTCGATCCCCATGGCCTTTTCTTCTTTGGCTTTGAATTTCAAACTTCCTTTCCGAATTTGTTCTTGGATCCTGTCTCGAAAAACAATGCAATTTTTAGTCGAGTGAGACCAAGAGTTATGCCATTTACAATATACTTTTCCTTTAAGTTCATTTGGAGATGAAAGTTTTATTCCTTTTGGTAACTTAAGGAAGTTGGCCGCAAGCAAATGATCAAAAATGTCATCTGCTTTTGTTAAATCGAAAGTACTTCCTGTGAAGGTCTTTCTTTTTAAACTGCTGGTCAATTGTTGTATCCTTATGAATTAATGCCTCACAGATCACAGGTTCTTTGCCCACAATCTCTGCTGCATCGATCTCATAATTAGGATCTCTATAATATGTCTTGTACGATGCATTATTTCGATCTTGTTCCTCCTCTAGTAATGCTTCATACCTAGACACCTTATAGGTTAGTTCCACCAAATCTCTGAATTCAGTTAAGTCAAACTTCTTTCGAAGCCTGAACTCTAAGCCATTTTGAGCCAATCTTACGAATTCTGGCTCTGGTAGGATGACTCTACATTTATTTCGAGCCCTTTTAAATCTGGCAATAAACTGAGTAGCCTTTTCTTCAGGCCTTTGACTCAATTTTGCGAAGTCTGCCATGGAAACCTCTGGCTCCGATTAGAAGAATTGGCCACGAAATGCCTCTTCTATTTGTTGTCAAGTTTGAATGGAGCCAGGTGTAAGGTTGATGTACCATACAAATGCTCCCCCAATTAGAGAATTTGAGAATAATCTCAGTTTCATATAGTCATGATTAGTAAATTCACCGTATTGAGCAGCAAACCTAGCAATATGCTTTATGGTTGATTGGTTTCCACTTCCATAGAAAAGGGTAAAATCTGGCATCTTGAACCCCCTTGGGTATTCATGTACCCTATCTACCCATTCTGGGTATGATTTTCTGTACACAGGAGTCTGGACCCCCCGAGCCATTGGTCCACACATCTCCCTAACAATATCAGCAATTTGGTCCCTAGGGACCATATTTTGTGCATGCTGAACCACTACTGGAGGGACAAACACAGGATTTGGTGGACAAACTTGTGCTTGTGGTCCTCTTGGTCCATAGGGTGGTACATTTGGGACTGGTTGTCCCTGTGGTGCATGTTGCTCTTGGGGGTGTGGGTAACCCCTTTGAGCCTGTCCTGCGAAAGGACCTGCGAAAGGTGCTGGAACAGGTGTTGTGTCCCTTCCATTTGTAGGAAAACCTTCCAACCCCCCGGGTATAAATTCGAATAAGGGATTAGTGAACCCCTTTGTGCCAGGTATGGCTTCGAATATGGGATTTGTGCCCATTCTTATGCCATTTTCTTGTACTAGGCCAGATCCACCAACTTGCATGGCTTCATTGTTATGTACTGAAGCATTTTGACCTGCTATAGGCCTCGAAATGGGTTCGTACCAAGATTGAGGTGATGAAAATTCATAGTTCCGATTACTAGTTTGACCATTAGAATGTCCATTAACTTGCATAGGCTGTTTATCTCTAGCCAATCTTTGCTGAGGGACATTTGGAACTTCCTCTATGTGTCTTGCATGTGTTGGTTGGTGGTTATTCATTCGATCCAGAAAGGATGTTGCCCACCTTTCCATTGTGTTCCTTAATTGTTGTCCCATGGCATCTACTAGGCCATCCCATGGATTTGTTGGCTGAGTAGATGGAATAGTGGATGGTCCAATTCCTTGGTTTCGTCCAATATTATGAACATGTGGTTCTTGTCTCGAAGTACTGGTCTGTTCGACCATAGGTTCTGATAAAATGGGAGTTTCCACAGGATGTGCTATCACATTATCCTCTGGATTAGGTATTTCTACCTCTCATTCTACGCCTTCTTCCAAGCGTTCATTTTCTCCTTGTCTCCTACGTCTAGCCATTTCAATTTGTCCCACTGGGCGTGCCAAAAATATATGTTGGTTTTTTTGCTTTCGAAGGTTATTTTTGTAATTGCGAGCGTGCTAGCAAGGATCAATCAGTCCTTACAGAATTTTAATTGCCAACCAATTATCAGATAATTGTGTTATAGTTATTTCAACCTCAATGAAGAGAACTTTTACTGGTGGCTTGATTTAGGAGAATTTAAGCACAATAACAGTTAAATAAAGAGCAATTGAAGTATTTCATTAGAATGAAAAACTTATAATGATCCAAACTCAGCCACGTAAAGGTTTACAGCGACAATCTACTTGAAATTATTCCTATGAATGAAGTGCAGTGCAGGAATTTAAAGTACATGAATGTAAAGAACAGGAATTTAAAGAACAGGAAATGTAAAGACTGGAAATATAAAACTGGAAAGAAAAATATGTAAAGTAAGACTGGTTTGTTGGATCTGAGTCTGCGGGCTTTTTCTAGGGCCTTCCCTGCTATTTATACTCCTCAAGGATGACCATCGAACTGCACTTCAAACCGTCGAACTGCTCCTCCATGATTGCTGATCATGCTGCCTTATAAATAGTTCCACTACGCCATCACTTGCAGTTGGGCTTCCCACCTATATTTGAATTTGAATGTGAGTAACCGTTAAAGCCACGTCACCTTGCATCTCTTCGTTGATTCACTGTTACTCAGACCTTTTAATAACCAATGCTAACTGCCACATGTACGATCAGGATCGAAGATTTGAATAGTCTTCCTATATTACCCTTATTCTGCCACATGTTAAATTGTGATTGGCTTATACAAAATATGTAGCCAACGATAGGGTAAAATTCAATTTACTCCTTTGTGATTTGAGGCCAAAACACTGTACTTCCTATGGTTCAAATATAGTCAGAAAATTCCTATGTAACCATTAATACCATTAACTATAGATGTGAAATGACTGTAATATCCTTAAATCCTATAATTTTTTTGTTATTTTTTTTCTCTCTCATCTCTCATACACATAATTTATAATGTTTAACATTAATTTAATTAAATCACAATTAATTATAAATTCTTAATTATTTATTGTAATTCTTAACCTTTTATTCTAATTTTAATTTAATTATATTTTAGATCACAATTAATCATAAATATTTAATTATTTATCATAATTCCTTACTTTTTAATCTAATTTTAGATACAATTAATTCTAAATTCTTAATTAGTTTGTAATTCCTAACATGTCAATCAATCTAATTTTAATTTAATTATATTTTAGATCAATTCTTAATTATTATTTATTTAATTATTATTTTAATTAACATATTAATTTAATTTTAAATTTGGAGAAAATGGGGATAAAATTATTTTTTTATTGTATTAATTTCACTTTATTTTAAAAAAAAATTAAACTCACTCTAAAAAATGATATGTGTAATACACTTTCCATTAATTTAAATAAAAAAATTAAGAGTAACATTTTAGCCTAAAATCGTATAGAAACTTTGTAACTATATTCGAACCATAAAGAGCTAAAATGCTCAAACCCCAAACCAGGAAAGATGAAATGAATTTAACTATACTTCATATGACTTGGATGCTTCTGATTGAAAGCATGATCATGGAATTGGATTGCCTGAGGCAGAGAACATGATTCAGCACGCTTCGATAATCAACCATTTTCGCTTAGACCTCATTCAGCATTGGTTAATAAGTCAGTTTATTAGCTAAAAAAAAGAAAAATTAGTGAAATATCTCTCCAGTTTTGTGTAGTATGAGAGGTTTAAGATATTTTTTTATTAGCTAAGGTCTCTCAACATTTTTTCAGAAAAAATTTGATTTAGAAAAGTTTTGCTTGACTCATTGAAATTTCGGCTCCGACTCAGAGAAATTTCAAAAATTCTCTATGAAATTAGAGAAATTTCTTTGAGTTTGGGCAAAATTTCTCTGAGCCGGCCAAAATTTTTCTAAGTTAAATTTTTTTTATAAAAATATTGAAAGACCTTAACTATTATGAAAATATTATATATCTTTTATTTAATAAAATTTTAATGTTATAGACCTTTGAAAAATTTGCCTCGACATTAGGCTAAAAGAAAAGTTTTAAGTCAACTTTGATTTTAATTACTCTAGAAACCCATAGGAAAACTAAAAAAGAAATAAGGAGAATGAGGCGAACCCAGCTCTTCCTTGGAGACAAACTACACAATCTACCTCTTTTCCCTCTCCAGAAACTGGCAATAGTCTAATTCCTTTCAGCAACAAAAAGAAAGGGGGAAAAATGGGCCGCCAGGGGGTGCGAAAGTTGGTAGATGTCAAAGTTGATGTGGCTTAATGCGGGGATGAGATCTCAACTGATTTCCCAGTGGAGGTGGGGCAAATTCAGATGGAGCTGGCAGACTTCTGTTCACAAGTTCCAAGCACATACCCTGGGACAGAAGGGGATCATTCTACTGAGCGGGCTTTGGTGGCTATCCCTCAACAGCCACACCTTCGATGCTGATTATAGCCTGGAACTATCAGGGGATGGGACGACCCCTGACAATCCAGAACCTCCGAGGGTTATGTATAACCCATCGCCCCAACTTAGTCTTCCTTATGGAGACGAAGAATAAAAGCTCCAAACTAGAGAGAATCAAGCGGTGCTTCAACTTTGCTCACTCCTGTTATGTTGAGCCGGTAGGGAATTCAGGCGGCTTAGCTTTATGGTGGGATGACAACCTCCAGTTAGATGTGAGACAGAAGACCAAGCATCATATTCGGTGTGTTGTTACTTTATCTAACCGCCTCATTCAGTGGGCAACATCCTTCATATATGCTCCATCTCAACGAAGCGTGCATAAAGAGTTTTGGGAATCTTTTAGAAAAATTGCTGAAGGAAATCAATACCCTTGGATGTGTATAGGGGACATTAATGAAATAGGCTCCTGCTCGGAAAAGCAAGGGGGAGTAGCAGTTCGGATGAGTCAGGTGCAGAAGTTTCAAGAATTACTATCTGAATGTAAGTTAATGGACCTAGGATTCAAAGGGGCTGCGTACACCTGGTCGAATAACCAAATGGGAGAACACAATGTTCGGGAGCGATTAGATCGAGCTGTTACTTCTATGGAATGGCGCGTCCTCTACTCTCAAGCCCAGGTATTCCATGAATCTTTTATTGGTTCTGATCACTGTCCTGTTATTTTATGTTGTGATTTTCCATTAAAGAATGTCCTAAGACAGTTCAAGTTCGAAACAATGTGGACAACCAATTCAAACTGTGGTGATATTGTCTGACGTTGTTGGGTACAAACTTCTGTCAGGTCTCAAATGTTCCAACTTGTCCAAAAGCTCAAATCCTGTAAGATTGATCTGCGTAGTTGGAGCCGTGAAATGTTTAGGAATAATAAATTTCAATTAGCCCTCCTAAAATCCCGACTTGATGAGGTTCAGGGAAAACCTCCATCAGAGGCTTATATGCAACATCAGAACCAACTTAAGCGGGAGATAGAAGTGCTGCTCGGACGAGAGGAAATGTATCTGCACCAATGTTCCCGTATTAGATGGCTACAATATGAGGACAGAAACTCTTCTTTTTTTAATGCCTCTGTTATCCAACGTCGACAAAGGAATCAAATTCTAAAGCTTCAAAAGGAGGATGGTACGTGGGTAGAGTCCGTTTCTGAAATAGACAACTATATCCGAGAATACTTTGAAAATCTGTTTTCAAATGTTGGAGTTAGAGACATGGAGTCAGCTCTGTCAGTGGTAGAGCCTCTGGTTTCAAGGGAGATGAACACTCTTCTTATCAAACCAGTTACGGATACAGAGATCAAAGAGGCAGTGTTCCAATTAGGTCCATTAAAATCTCCGCGGTCGGATGGATTTCCTGGTTTCTTTTACCATACTTATTGGGACACAGTGAATTCTCAGATCTTTAATGTTGTCGGGAGCTTTTTCAATGGTGGCTATCTCCTAAAAGAATTGAACCAAACAAATTTGGTTTTGATCCCAAAAGTCCCTCACCTTGAAAAATTATCGCATCTTCGGCCAATTAGTTTGTGCAACTTTAGCCTGAAGATAATTACGAAGATTCTGGCCAATCGTTTGGAGCAAGTCTTGGGCAAACTAATCTCCCCTCAATAGTCTGCTTTTGTTCTAGGAAGAATGATTCAAGACAATATTCTAGTTGCTCATGAAACTTTCCACTCCCTTAAAATCCTGAGGAGGGGGTACACCGGCGATGAAAATTAAGTTGGACTTCAATAAGGCCTATGACAGAATTCAGTGGGATTTTCTCTTAGCAGTATTGGCAAGGATGGGTTTTCACTCTAAATGGATCCAGTGGATAAGGGAGTGTGTGACCACAGTCAGGTTTAGAATTGTTGTCAATGGGGCTATTCAATTAGCTATAACTCCGTCCCGAGGTTTACGACAAGGGGATCCTCTTTCACCCTACCTGTTTCTTTTGGTGTCCGATGTGTTTTCCAAACTTCTCAGCATTGGTTTGAGATCTCGTGAATTTTCCAGATTAAAGCTTGCTAGACATTGCCCAACTCTCTCGCATCTTCTCTTTGCTGATGATGCTCTTTTGTTTCTTAAAGCGGATCCTTAAGAAAGTGCTAACTTGCTGGACATTCTCCGTACATATTGTGAGGCTTCGGGCCAAGTTATCAATTTTGATAAATCCAATATTACCTTTGCTTCAAATGTCCCTCAGAACATTCAAGATGAGATCTGTCAAAAAACTGGAATTACCAAAGCTTCTTCAACTGTAAGTTATCTGGGATTGCCATCTTCTTGGGGAAGATCAAAGGCTGAAGCTTATAGCTATCTCCTTGAAAAAATGTTATCCAAGCTCCAAGGGTGGAAAGCAAAACTTCTCTCTTTAGCTGGTCGCGAAGTCCTTCTTAAGGCTGTTGCCCAATCTCCCCCATCGTACGTTATGGCCTGCTTTGCGTTTCCCAAACATTTTTGCGAAAAATTGAACTCCTATATTCGTAACTTTTGATGGGGAGGGGATTCGGAGAGTAAAGGAATTCACTGGGTAAAATGGGAGGTTCTAACACTTTCAAAATCTAAAGGAGGCTTGGGCTTTCGTGATTTTCATGATTTCAACTTAGCTCTTTTGGCCCGCCAAGGATGGCGGTTGCTTAAAAATCCCAATTCTTTTTGTGCTCGCATTTTGAAGGGTATATATTACCCTAACACTGATTTTTTGCACGCCTCAAGCAGCCGAAGAGCATCTTGGGCCTGGGCTAGTTTAATGCAAGGAAGGAGTCTCTTAACTGAAGGCATCCGTTGGCAAGTTCATAATGGTTTATCCATATCTATCTGGACTGACAAATGGGTCCCAGGGCTTCCTGGTTTTAAGATTGGCACAGTTCAACATTTGGGGTGTAACCTTCATAGGGTTGAGGATTTGATTAACAGTCGGAGAGAGTGGAACTTGCCTACTCTAAATCAAGTCTTATTGGCAGAAGAGGTATCTGCAATCAGGTCTATCCCTATTTCAGTGAAAGGGAGAGAAGATAATCTCATCTGGCACAATGAGGCAAAAGGAATTTTCTCTGTTAAATCGGGCTATCATTTAAAGGGCCAGGAGAAACGCAAAAGGGCTGCCTATTGTGCTTCATCATCATTCCAAGTCCCAGAAAAAGTGTGGAAAATTATTTGGCATCTCCCCGTTCCACTGAAAATTCACCACTTTTGGTGGCGGGCTTGCACCAACTCTTTAGCCACAAAAGATAACCTTTATAGACGTAAGTGTGCCCAATCGAACCAATGCCCTATTTGTTGGAAAGCCCCAGAAACAGTGGAACATCTTCTGTTTGGCTGTGGATGGGTGCGAGCTGTTTGGTTTAGGAGCCCACTGAATTTCATAATAAATATTGAGGAGGTTTCATTAGTGTTGCATTGGACTTGTGCATTGGTAGATTAACAGGGGACTCAATCCTCTGCATCTCAACTTTTGGGGCAGTTTGCATGGTTGGGTTGGTTAATTTGGAAGGGAAGGAATGACTATATCTTCAACCATGTTGGGGTAGAACCCTTATCCACTTTATTTCGCTTCCAGACGGGCACAGAAGAGTGGCTCCGAGCACATCCCTTGACACCCTCTTCCAGCCTTCGTTCCACAAGGCCTGAGCTGCTTTTGGATACTCAACTTGCTTGGCAACCCCCTCCTCCAGGAGTCATAAAAATCAACTGTGATGTCGCAATGGGAATAGGCTCTGATAAGGCTGTGGTGGCAACTGTGTTTAGAAATTCTCATGGTCAAATTTTGGATGGTTTTACTCAAAAAGTCAACATCTCATCTTCCTTCCTAGGGGAAGCATGGGCCATTCGATCGGCTTGTTATGCGGCTCGCGCCCACAACCTCTCTTCTGTTGAAATAGAGGGGGATAACAAAACTATCATCTTTCTGTATGTCTCTGAGACTGATCCTCCCTGGGAAGTTGCTGCCATTATTTATGATATCAGAAGCTTGGCTCGGGAAGGGTCCTTTTTGTTTTCCTAGTGTCCGAGAGAGGCTAGCACAGCAGCCCATTGGACGGCGAAAGCAATGCACAAAGGATTGCTTCCTGCAGACTGGGTTTCCAACCCTCCTTCTGGTTTAGTCGCCTGTTTGGCTTTTAGCTAGTCGTCGTTTTTTTTTTTGCTGATGTACCTGATCAAAAAAAAAATATATATATATATATATAGTTGCCTAGTAGAAAGGCCAAAATCAGCTATTTCTTCTGGCATTAGTTCAACGAATACTACGACTTCTTTTGGGAGTCTGTTAAAATGCTAATTTATTGATCATAAATAAGTTAATAAAAAAGTTAATATTAAAAAAAAAACTAATTTGATTGACATATTTATTTCTTGGATAAATTAAATTGACATCTCTTGATATTTAGAAAAAAATATAATAAATCTTACAATTTCAATATAATTACACAGATTTCTCTTTTAGTAAAGTTAAAGCAATCAAAACTAATACAAATAATGTAAAATATATAATGTAAAATATACATTTCAATGACAACATCATTTTTTCACTCATACAACTAACGAGTTTTTTTTTTTTAATGGAAATGAGTCAAATATTATATGAATTAAAATTTTAGAGAACTCAATATAATTATGTCAAATTTATGGGACTTATTGTATTTTTTCTAAATCTCAAGTTACCCAACAAATAAATATGCCAATCAAATTATTTTTTATTTAGGGTAAATTACAATTACACTCGTTGAGATTTGCTTGATATACGAATTACCTCATGTGGTTTTGAAAATTACAAATATCCCCATTGTCAAAAAAAATTATTTAACAAAATTGACAGAAAAAATAAAATTTCTAATTACTCTACTATATAACAATAAAATTATTAAAATTGTAAATTGAAATATATTTTCAACATAATTAAAAATTACTAATTGACTTAATGATTTATTAATATCAACAAAAGAGATCATTTATTATGTCATTAGAAATTTGAAGGGGTATGATTTTAAATTTTTAAAATTGCAAAAGACAATTTGTGTTTTAAACAAATCTCACAAAATTTATTTGTAATTTTTTTTTTTAGTATTAACTTTTTTATTGACTTATTTATAGTCAATAAATTAACATTTTAGCAAACTTTTAAACACTTCATAGTATTCGTGTAATCATATGAACTAATGCAACAAAAAATAGTTGATTTTGGCCTTTCACCTAGGCAACTAAATCACAAGCAATGCTCACTCTTACATAAGCGGGTAATGCTAGAGATCAAGATTTCATTAAAAAAAAAAATAGTGTGCAATTTAGATTCACCCCGAGTATGGGCTCTCTCTACTATAAAAAAAAGTTATAATTTGAAAACCATACTATTTTTCTTCATATTTTTTCTGCGTGGATTCTTGCTTCCTATAAGAGGAGCTAATTTGAGCCCACTAAATTAATCAGACCCAATAGTCGAAGGTTGGTGGGCCCAAATTTATTGCAAGTCCAAGATTGGTGGGCCCAGTTTTATCGCCATCAAACAGACCGAATCGCTCTAAGCCTCGAAAGGTTTCGAATCCATGAACTTAGAGACTTACTTGAGCTCGAACTCAAAAGGATTCGGATCCACGAATCTAGAGATTCGAAGCACCTGGCTTCGAATGGATTCAAACGCAATCTAGAAGTCGCTCCATTAATGAGTTCCAGAACACTTGCGGACTCGGAGCTTTTCGGGATTTACGCACCAGAACCATGGGCGTAATGGAGTTTAAACAAAGAACCCGATCCCGAGGACGATGAGTGGAGATAAATTCACTCTTCAGTTAAACTAGCCTATACCCGGGTCGAGGTGGCACGATCTAGGGGGTCCCTGAGACTCGACAATATTTGCGGCAGTGCGTTCTCTTGAATTACTGTAGACACCCTATTTTTGACCGACCTTAAGACTCAGACGTCACCGATTGAGCACTTGGTGATGTTGCATATTGTGCTCGTTCTGAGGTTGCGGAGTCTCGATCGCGTGCCTTGCCTCCGAACTTTCGGACTCTTTTGTGCTTTGCCTCGGTTTGAGAACTAGGCCTTGTTTTCTCTATTTTCTCTTCCCGAAGGGAGGGAGAGGTCTCGTAGATCATCTCTCAGTGGCCGTAGGCTATGTTTCGTGGTCGTAGGCCATTTTTCCCGTTTGGAGGCCAGTTTTTGATTTTTCGGAGCCGTCGGCCGTGTGCCTCGGTTCGGGACCGCTTAACCACCTCCATTTGCTCTGGTTTTTGGCACACACCTTGTTTCCTCCCTTTTGAGGGACACTGTGGCCCGAGAGACCAACTTCGTGGTCGTATGCCACCTCCGGTGCTTAGAAGTTAGTTTTCGGGACCTCGGGCCGCGCGTTTCAGTCCCCGAACCTTCGTTTTGCATCCGTCTTGGTCCATTTTTGGCAAGGACCTTATTTTCATTGTTAGAAAGGTTGTAGGAGGGTGGGAGACCAGCAATTTTTCTAAAAAACTAGCTTTTCTCTTCATTGCTTTTCGTCACTCGATTTTCTTACTAGAAAACTGGTTTTTCCCACTCCCAGGCAACTTTTTCTGACTTTCCACCACACCATTGTGTTGTGCACACCTGGGAGGCCACCAATATGGGTAGGCCGACCAGTAATTGTCCTTGACCCTTTTGAACCCCTCTAAAAAGCTGGTTTTTCTCTCTCCTGGTTCACTTTTTTTAGTTTTTGACCACACAGCTGTGTTGCACTCATCTGGGAGGCCACCTTTATGGGGTGGCCGACCAGCAATTGTTGTTGACCCTTTCGACCCCTGGTCGGCAGCCCAGGGGAGGTGGCCGACCGGCCACCTTGGCCTTTTGAACCTGGCCGGCCATGTTTGCCCTCCTGAGTGTATTCCAGCTGTGCCAGCTGTTTGCCATTTGCTGCATCCTCCATACACGTGTATGGAGGATATTTGAGGCTTCTTAGAGAAGCTTTAGGGCTTCTCCTCTATAAAGGAGAGGCTTGTCTTCATTTGCTGGGGTTCAGACATTTTTGCCTAGGCACACACCCATCTTCCTCCATAGCTTTCTCTCCCAAGCTCCAAAGTCCATTATCCTTGGCCATTTACACACCAACTCATAGCCTACCACTTCCCTCATCCATTCCAGCCCCTTGAAGCTGATTTTCAGAGGTTGAGAGCTCACAATCTTGGACCAAAAGCTGCTGGAGGTCGACTTTACAAGGGTAAGCTTCTATTTTCCCCACTTTTGCATTATTTTGCTCTATATCTTAGCTCCTTTTGCTTGCATTTTTGGGTTTCGAGCTAAACTGAAAAAGATCTTATTTTGAGCTCCTATCCAACTTTGTTGAATAACACCATTTTTGTATTATTTTGCTCTATATCTTAGCTCCTTTTGCTTGCATTTTTGGGCTTCGAGCTAAACTGAAAAAGATCTTATTTTGAGCTCCTATTCAACTTTGTTGAATAACACCATTTTTGCATTATTTTGCTCTATATCTTAGCTCATTTTGCTTGCATTTTTGGGCTTCGAGATAAACTGAAAAAGATCTTATTTTGAGCTCCTATTCAACTTTGTTGAATAACACTTTGCTGTTTGAAGTCATCTACTCCCCCTTGGTGCTTTATCTCTCTTTTAGGCTTATTTTGCATGATATATTAGCCTTATTTTTGAGCATTTCTGGGCTTCGACCCAAACTATAAAGTGTCTTATTTTGAGCCCCTCTTCAGCTTTGTTGAAGGGCTCTTTGCTGTTTGAGGCCATCTACTGCCCCTTGTCCTCTATCTCTCTTTTAAGGCTATTTTTGCATCATGTTTTAGCCTTACTTGTGGACATTTTTGAGATTTGTCATAAACTGAAAAAGATCTTTTTTAAATCTCCTCTTCAAGTTTGTTTAAGGTCTCTTTCCTGTTTGGGGCCATCTTCTCCCTATGCATGCTTCATCTCCTCATGATCAGGGCTATGCATTAGAGCACTTGCATTGGCTATGGTTTGGCCTCTTAACCACTAAAATCCAGTGGATTTTTAGTGGCTTAGGTGTATTCTTGAAAGCCAAAATCAAAGGGGGGTGACCCCCTCTCTCCTTGTCTTGTTTGGTGGTCTTGTTGGCCTTCCAAAGGGACCCCTTTTTGCATGATTTGAAGTCATGTTTCAGGCCTCATTCTGAGTGCTTTTAGGTCTACCTTGGCTCTTTCTGAGGCCCTCTTGACCATATTTTATGTCTATGTTGCATGTGTAGAGAAATCCCATTCAAGGCCTTTCAAAGAGGCCTTTCTTTTCATGTTTCTGAGACTGATTCCAGGGCCTATTTGGTGGGTTTTAGGGCTATCATAACCCATTTTCAGAGTTTTTTTGGTTTTGCTAAGTGTCTATCTTGTATGTGCTTAATAACCCCTTGTATGGCCCTCTAAAGGAACCCATCATTTTTGCATATGTTGGCTGCATTTCAGAGGTTATTTGGGCATAGTTTGACATGTTTTATTCACTGATTTTGGCTGGTTTGATGAGTTCTCTTATGCTTCATATACATGCCATATAAACCATGTTTACTAGCCATTTTTGCATGTTGTTTTAGAGCATCATGTTAGCACTTTTTGGGCATGCTTTAAACTAGAAATGTGCATGTTTTGGGACTGCCTTGGCTCTGTCTTTGTGCTTTATATTCAAATAATGCTTGCTTTGCATAGCTATAAGTCAATACATGTGCCTAGTTTTGAGTTTTGGGGTTTACTTCATGCATCGGGTGCCATATTTCCATGTTTCGGGACCATTTAGCATCATGTTTCAGTACTGGAATTTACATGCTCATATGCCATCTCTCATCCTTTGCCATGCCTTGTTAGAGTTACATGTTGTGTCTTAGGATCGGTCCTCGATTTGCGTGCATATGTGCACGCATTTCGGTTATCTCATTTTCATCTTATGGCTACTGATGTGAGTGTGGCTGAGGTCCACTCATATTGGTGTAAGCCCATATTGCATTGTGTATGCCATCTTAGTCCTTTGCATTGCGTATGCTAGGTTGTATGTTAGAGCATTGTGTATGCCATGTTACATCGACCATTGCGTATGCCATTTCATAACATTGCGTATGCTAGGTTGTATGTTGGTCGCATTCATGCATGTCATGCATATTGCATTGTGTTTGGCATAGGAGTTAGCCCAAGCACGGGAAACGAGGGACGTTTCGTACTACGAGTGACGAAACGTGTCTCAATTCCCGGTCACCGACACTCCAGATTAACCATGATGGAGTCTCGGTTTTGTTGTGTTTATATGTGCATTCATTTCACATTGAGTCATGCAATTCGACTCCTC